TTAGATTTGGATGATCCTATCTGTATAGAACTTTATGTTACTATACTTTCTGTTGTGAGTTATTAACATATGTATGTATGGAATGTTATGATGTGCATATAAGCATGGCTTTATGGACAAAGTTTTAAAATTACTTCCTTTTGGCCCTTGTTAACTCTGTTAAAATACGTCTGGTTTGGTTTGAGGCCGTAGGTAATCTTATGATTACTGGCCGGTTATTCCCTTAACCCACGGGGGCAGGTTCGGGTCATGACAGATACCCTATCTGTTCATTATGTAAATGGACTGGGCGCTAACGTAATTCCCATCGTCCTCTGCCATGATAGTTTGGACCACCCGGGCCTCTGCCAAAGAGAAGCCAAAGAGGAATACATCTTCTTCCCCGTGTATGATTTCCAACAAGGGCGTGGTAGTTCCCTGGGGAGGGTAGATAGTAGAATTGCCATACACAAGAGCAATCCTGCCCTTGAAGGGGTATTTTATCAGCTGGTGAACTGTTGATAACATAGCCCCCATCTAATGTAGCCAGGGTCTTCCCAGTAAGGCCGCAGGTTTGAAGTACCAACTGCTCCAAGTCATGTGGTTAATCTCGTCAGTATACCATGTGTCATCAGGGGTCTCAGCTTTTTACCCTTCATTTGTGTACACGTGACTTAGGTCACTGTCTTCCCACCACTCCCCCATAGTCATGGCCAAGCTTTTATCAGGTTCTATCTAGAGCATGTTCACATCACCCCCACATCATCATACCATTCCGCCTCCACCACAGTTTTGGTTTCTACGTTCCTATACTTTCTGATCTTCCTTGGCATTCTTTTTCGGTTATTGGGCTCCCATTCAATCTTTTTGGTGGTTTGGACATCAACTACCGTTGCCTCGGCTTCTTCTTTCCCTTTTCCTTTTCCCTGCTCCAAAGCTATTTTCCTCTAGATTTCTTCTATTCTTTCCTGTTGGAATCGCTCCAACGCCTATTCTTTCTCAGTCAAAGGTGCAGCCTCAGTCTTGCTGCTACCACCAATTTCCTCTTCTTTCCCAGTCTCTTCTATCTATTCCTCTACATCTGACTCCTTTTCGCTCAACCACCCGTTGCTTGTTTCTGGCTGGCTTGGATCCCACCACTCCAGTTGTACACTACTTGTATCCTCTTCTTCAAAGAAGTAGAGGTTGTCTAGATCCTCTTCCAGCTCCGCCAGGTCTTCTTCCAGTTCGGCCAAGTCATTAAGGCCTATTTCAGGCCATTTATTCTGATGTTGCCCTAGTTCATCCTCCCTGATAGCATTGATACTGAGGAAGTTCGGTAGTATGACTACTAGCTTTAGTTGATCGACGGCCACAATGTATATGCTAGGGTCATACTCCTCTACGAGCGAGGCCCCCTTCTCTATGTCATTGGTATCAGACGACCCGGTCTTCTATGCATTCTCCTTTTCCTCCATCTCTGCTGCCATAGGCCTGGGTTGGGTTTACGATGTTAGGCCCATCATGCACATGTTTGTGCCTTCTGGGATAACCACCTCAGGTTTTGGTAGGTGGGATGAGGTACTATATACACTAGGGTTAAAGGTGGCCAGTAGTATATGGATTTGGTTAACGTTTTTGGGCGGGGAGACTTGGTTATAAACAGGAAGTGGGTTGGTAGTTACATTCGATTTGGCGGGCAAAGCGACAACTTTGTTGTTAGTGAGATCCTGGATCTCATGATGTAAGTGGTAGCATAGATCTGTGGAATGACCATGTTACTAATGAAAGAGACAGTACTAGGTCGAGTCATGTCTAGGTGGCAGTGGTCAGAGAGAGGCCGAGGATCGAGGGGCTTGAGATGTCCTCTTTCCATTAACATTTTCATGGCGCGGGATGGGCTCATATGGAAAGGGATGAAGATTCTTTGATTTCGGAGTGGACCAGTGGTTTGTAAGGTTTGTGAGGTTGTGGCAGCAAAGGGATCGGCCAGCTTGGCTGCTGTGACAACAATACTGACATCCACAGGCCGTGGAATAGTGATATTGCTAGCATTGGTATTCTGGGAGAATGGCCTTCTGTTGGGTTCACTAGTTTTGTGGATGATGCCCTTCTTGAATGCACTCTCAATCTGGACCCCCAACTCGCGTAGGGAAGCAAATGTGGATAACAGTGCCACTATCATTCTCTGCAGCATATCTGGCTTAAGGTTCTAGACCACCAGTCAGACTTGCTCTCTTTCAGAGGGTTTATTGGTCATCTTAGCTGCCTTTTCTCTTCATCTGGCGACAAAGTCGATAAGAGGCTTTTTCTGGTTCTGGGTAGTTACTTCTATCTCAGTGTTATATGAATATTGGTTGACGAACCCCTCAAACAGCTCCTCCCAGTTCCGCTTCGTAGAATCCTCCAGTTTAGTATACCAGATGGCTGCTACGTCAGATAGAGTTCTTCCAAACAATGGCAATATATGAGCCCGAGAGAGGCCCATCAGTCTTAGCACATAAGAAAACAGGCAGACATGTACAATGGGATCCCCACTCCCATCGAATCTGTCAATGCACGGCATCTTGAACTTCTCCGGTAACCTAACCGAAGCCTCAGTGTACCCGTCTTTAATATCTGGAATGGAATTGAAGCCTTGGGACTTTTTTAGTGCTTTCTCTGACTTGGCAATGTTGATCAGAGCCGGGTCGATATCATTGATATCAAAGGGACGAATTTCTCCGTGAGGCTATGCCAAAGGCCTGAAAGCTGGAACTTGTGGGAACATCTCCTGATGATCTAGGACCGGAGGGTTTTCAATTAGCGGAGGTGGATCAAGATTAGGTTGAGCAGCCATGATTGGGTGGACAGTTGATGCTAATGCCCCAGATGGGCGTCGCAGATCAACGATAATCTTATCCTGTGCAGCCATCCTTTGATTTACAGTAACTATGATTCTCTAGAATGCTGCCATCATGGTAACAAATTCTTTTGTGTTCTGTGCTGTATTCTGTTCCATTGCTAGTCTAGGTGAGCTAGATGCTGGTGAACTGATTGGGTGGGAACGGACAGATGTTTGATGAATGCTCTGTGCTGGTGCTGCTGACTATCTATTCCTTCTTCGTTGAGTAACTGGTGGAAGTGAGACTAACATTGGCTAATCGTCAACGAGATCTCGAATTTTGCAAAGTCGACCAGAGCGACTCCCTACAACTTGGGAAATATTGGGTCTTTTTGAAGCTATGATGGTAAACTACCTAGCAAAAGAAAGAAAAGAAAAACAATCAAAATCGAACAACACCTCGACCTAATCCACAATAGGCAATAACACACAACTAAAGGACTGCAATCCCTGCTGATCTCTGTTCCCAAACTGATACCAATATTTGTACCACTGATATGAACATCCCTGTATAGTTTCACTGTAAAAGCACATACCAGGTAAAAGAGAGCCAAAACAGCCCTATGATGGGGTAGGGTTACCCTGCCCTAGATTTTTGACATGATCTAGGCTGCACTACTTCAAACAAGTAGTTTCATAGCATTCTGTATACAGGTGGCATCCTGTCCTAATATGGGATAGTCACTAGAGCGTACTATATACACTAGGCCAATTGGTCCAAAAGGCTACCTCGGCAAGATTACCTAATATACCACTCACACCTAGCACTGAAAAGTGAAAGGAGGATCAAGCGGTACAACAGTAATCCAGATCCAAGGATTGTATTTCCAACATGGCAGAGCCTATGATCGGCTAGTCTTTTGGCAAGCTTTTTAGGCAAGCCTCCGATAAGTTGTCCAGGAATAGCAGATGGAAAACACAATGACTTAAAGGAACAATGCAAATGTAATGCAAAGAACATATAATTGTAAATAGAATTTCACATCATGAATGTAGACACCCCATGTTTGACCGTCCTCAAGACTTGGACGTCATCGTTTGAACACTCGATGATCATCCATGCTCGTGTTCGTTTTGAGTTCCCGAAGGTCTCGGCTGCGCGCCTTGCCTTAAGATCTCTCAACTTGTTTGTTTTGTACTTGGTTGTGGACCAAGGACTTGTCGTTTTGCTCTTGAGGGAAGAGGGTGGCTTATTGGCCATCCCTACAACCCATCGGCTAAGGCCTTGTGCCATCGGCCTTGTTTTCTTGCTATCGGCCATAAGTGTTGGCCAATCGGCACTCTTTTTGGTCGATCGGCCATATTTCTTGGCCGAGACCTGTCCACCTGCTTTTGCAGATATTTTTGTGCCAACTGTGACAGCTGGTGAGCACAATTCTCATCCTTCATACATGTGTATAGAGGGATTGAATCAAGACTCAAGGTTGTTCAACAAGCACTACAAGAAGTTGGGTCTTGAATGACGAATTTTTTTTGTCTCCAAAGAGCTAATTTCGTCACTATAGATATTTGTGACGAAATATTTTCCTCACCGGTTTCGTCATTGAATGTTTGTCACTAAAAACTACCGTGACGAAAAATAATTTCGTCACCAATGAAATTACTTCAGTGATGAAATTTTTTGTCACCAATAAAACAACATTTTGTCGCCAAAAATTCTCATTTTCGTCACCAAATAGTTATTCAATACCATATTTATAACTTTAGTTGACGAATAAATTTGTCACACATGTTGATCATTGATGAGTAAATAATTTCGTCACAGTAAGATGTAAAGTTGACGAAATTTTTCGTCTCCAAAAATCATACATGAGTGACGAAATATATTTCATCGCAAATATATATATATACGCGACGAAATTTTTAGTAACCAAACATCAAAATCAATGAAAACTTTCATATATTAGTTGCAATAAATTTTATAACAAAATGTTTATTAGCGACGAATAATCACTTTGTCATAATAACAAGTACAAATGACGAAACAAATTCGTCACTAAACTTGTTCCATATTTTATATTTCAATTTAAATTATTATTTCACAAATATCCCTGCTCATATCCCAATATCCTTTTAATTGTACTAAGAAATCCACTTGCTACTATACACCACTTCACAAAAAAAAATCACTAAACAATTTATATTATAAATCAAAATATATCCATCAAACAACTTTAATAATAATCCATTAAGTATAACAAAAAAACCATCAAAGCAAATCCCAAAATAAACTAACGTGGAGTCTACAAAAAAAATCAACACTCAATCTTAGTTTGCAACTAACTAAGTATCAGTTCAGGAAAAAAAAAAATTCAACACTTGATCTTGATTTGCAAGTACGCTTCCAAACGTCATCAAAAACCAATCTGCAAAGAAAATAAACAAGAAAAATATTAACATATAATCAATTACATTGTACAGACCTCTCTATCCATGTCAATTCAAATTGTGTACACAATGAGTCTAGCTTAACAACCAGAAGTTCCTTTGTACATGGCAAGCTCTTATTAATCACATCACTAACTTAAAGCAACTCCAACACTGCCTAGCAAAAATACACAAAAAAGTAAACACATAGTTTTGTCTCTTCTTTGGTTAGTGTGTATTTTAACAAGGTCATGCTAAGTAAAAAGTAAATAATGAATCTATTTTCATTAAATACATTGAGACTTGTTAAATCTTAGTTAATAATTAGTGAAACTGTTGTGTCTTACCTCACTTACACTCTGTTTTACTAGAAAGACAAGAAGTTGTATATTGTTGCTAAGCCTGTATTGGTTGTCCTAGTTTTGTTCAAAAAATTGATTAACACGCTTTTTCTTTACCTGATTTAATCTCCGTTTTCCCCCCAGGAGAATGAAGTGGGTGTTAGTGTAGAAATGTGTACTTTCATTCCTTGAATGCTCCTTCGAAATAAAATATAGCTCTTATGACTTTGAAATTTAAAGAAAGTGGGGAAGTTCCAATGCTATGTGTGGAGTTATTGATTAATAGTCAAATTTGATATTTTCTAAGACCAAAGTGCAAAGATGACTTATAATTGCAACACTTGTGACTAGTGGCATGTTCTTATATTTTCCAAGGATAAAAGGACCTAATAGATGCAGGTTTAGGTAATGAGAAAAGACATAGAATAATATGTATTACTTTAAACTATGTCCTGCACAGAATGGACTTGCTGCGTGATGGGATTCATCTTAGTGCCATAAATAATTAGGACAACGTTTCATTGCATTGAGTTGTACTATTATTGTCTATTGAGACAACTGATTTGTTATCTCAGTGTTCTCCTCACAGCTCATGGTCTATTATGTCCCACATTTCTACCTATAAGTATAGGAAAAGTAAATATTCTTGTTGTCTAAAGTCGCTTTTTGTAGCGCTCAGTGTTTAGTGTGTACATTATTGATTTTTTTGCAACACTATTCACATACTGTCCCAGGTAAAGACTGGAAGAACTGGATACCCTATTGAATCTATTTTCATTAAATACATTTTGAAACTTGTTAAATCTTAGTTAATAATTAGTGAAACTACTGTGCTTTAACTAGTATATACTAACCAACATGAGAAAAATAAAACATAAAACAAGCGAAACTTACCAAAACGGCGATCTACGAGTCATGGGATACCATCTCCTGTAAATTGTCCTTTGAAGGGATCCCCCTGCATAGGGCAACAAAAAATAAAAAAAAAAAAGGAAAAAACAACACCGATGACTGGTGACAATTTCAATTGGTATGCTATGCAAGTAGTTTGGAGCACATATAATCTAAATTAAGTAGTAACTCCATCTGTCGTCCTGTTAATTGAGGAAAAGTAGAGAACAAAAAAGCACATATAATCTAAGTCATGTTGTTTTTCCATCATCTGTCAAATAAGCTTGAGGTTTAAAATTATGTCCACGAAAGGAAAAACAAAGGATTATAATTTATAAACTTTCCTTACTTTGTCCTGCAAAAGCTTCGCCCTGGAACATTTTTCTCCCCAACCAAACAGAGCATGTGGCAATGGAAGATAAATTGGGTATTTACTGAATCTTACTTTAATTATGTTCTATGCTCTTCTTTTTCTTTTTTTCTTTTTTTTTTTTTGGGAAAGGTGAGTATGTGGCAATGGAAGATAAATTGTGTCTTTACTGAATATTACTTTAATCAAGTTCTATCCTCTTCATTTTTTGGGAGGGAGGGAAAGGTGAGTAAAAGATATTTTTGTTGTCCAAATATTAACAACAAATCCACGAAGTGCAGTCTGAAAGTTTTCAACCATTCAATTTAATGTTATTGTTTGGAACTCACTAATATATACAGAGTAGAAAATGTTATTCCTGCAGATGCAGATGTAACCAGCATGTAACCGATTGTGTACAGAGGTTTGTTCAAAAGGATACCTGAAAGGAAAAGAAAAAGTCAAATATCAGTATCTTGGTGATTTGAAGCGTATAAATTTGTGAATTTAAATCCAGATTTTAATTTCCTGGCATCCCTCTCAAATGAACAGGAGCACCCAAGGTCAATTTCAGCCAAGTAGAAAAAAAAAAAAAAAAAAAAAAAAAAAAAAAAATCTCAAACGAACAGGAGCACCCAAGGTCAATTTCAACCAAGTAGGAAAAAAAAAAAAACAGAATTCTAATGTTGGCAGTGCAGAAAATCCCATTTAACATTATCATTATTTCCCTTAATTTTTTACTTTTCCTTCTAATACCTTGTCTTCTTAAAAAGTAAAAATAATAAGGAGAAAAAGGATAGTCATCATTAAACATATGGCCATTTATCATTAGAAAGTAGAGAACATATGGCCATTCATCATTAAAAAGTAGAGAACAAGGGAACAATCAATCGGTGCAAAGATGTCTTACCTGTAATTGTCCAAGAATGTGGCCATACTGAAGTCCAATTATGCACGTCACAGCAGCTGTCAAGGAACTTCAAATACAGGGTGTCAACAGTACACATTACAACTCCTTGAAGGTTTAATAAACTATGAAGTATAGTCACTTATGCATATCTAAACTCAAACTATTAAACAAATGTGCCGGAATCATATAAGTTATAAATCTAAATATGCTTTCATGACTAATCCAATTTAAGGAACCATTTAATCATAGTCAAATATAAATGACATCATCTTACCAGTTCAAAATACCAATATCTCAAGTGTATTGCATTTTCATGCAATAACAAGAAGACAACGATGATAAGACGATACATAATAGAACAAAGGTTTTGAAGTACCATCATGAAGGAAAAAGAAAGGATTAGTTTGGTCACCTTAATATACCTTCAAGATCAAAAGGAGTATGACACCATGACGGTGAACTATCTGAAATTTGGCCAATGATGGAAATATTGCATTCCTGTGAAGGGATACCATATAGGAATCAACTGATTGCAGAATGTAAACCAGAATTTTACAAAATTTTACCTTCAGAATAGAGTTACCTTCAAGTTTCTACAAACAGGTTTTGTATATAGATGATTAAGACCAAGAACACAACGATCTATCATTGTAGCAGCATTACAGGCAGGTCCATGATCTCCTCTTGTGGAACATGTCACCTAATATGACAAACTCCACAAGTTTTTGTAATATGGATGATTATCTTCTGTGTAATTTCTCACATATTAGCAAGTATTCTACTATTATATATGTCCCAATATCAAATAGAAGAAAAAAATCAGTTGATGCTTAATGTAGTAATATTTGAGAATCACTATAATCACTAAGAATGGCATAGACATCCTCCTGTCTTAAGTTGACTTGAACACTACAAAACATGGTTTCCATAATAAATCATATGCTTTGAAAAAGCATGAAGATTGGAATATTCAAATTCAACAGCAGTGACTGGAGATGAAAGTAAGCTCACACATTCATTCCACTTCAAAGTCAACAAACTCACCATCCAACCAAGTCACAATAAACACGCACACACACACACACACACACACACACACACACACAACCACACACAAAAAAAAAAAAAAAATTAAGTGTCTCCCTACCAACATCCCTAAAATTTCCAAGAGAGTGTCAACTTGACAAATCGGCTGTTGGCAGGAATGTTAAGGAGTATAGAGCATAATCTTACAGTGTAAACAAAGCTTCCATTTGTGGGAAGCATAGAAATTGATCTCAGTAACTCAAATTTCCAATCTGGAACATACATGCCATATGACAACCCCAAGTATACTACCAACAAGGCACATGCAATGCACCTACAAAACAACATTTCACATTATCACCAACTATTGAAGGGCACAAATTGAAAGGGGTAGAAGACAAAAAATGATTTTTTTTTTTCTATTTAACTGAATTAACCATTCATTTAAACATAGAATGTTTCAAACTTCGTTTCAAAAACTTCATGAACATCAGTTCATCCTGTGAAGAATTAAAAGTGGAACAAAAGGAAAGTCAGCAATCAACATTGAGTGGGTGGATCATACCCATGTATAAAAATTTGATCTGCTGAATTTCAACAATTATTTGAAAGTTTCAATACCAGAATCACATAGTTGTATTTATTTATTTATTATTTTTAATTTAAAAATAGATAGATAGCTGTTTATGGGGCACATCAAAATCACTGTTGAATGAGCTAATCTTTGGCTCCTCATTGCACCAAAACTCCAGATCAACACCACCCACCAATTATAGTTAGGCATGTTTGTCCCCAACAAATCAAAAGTGTCAATAGTCTACATTCACCCATAATTAAAATAAGCAATATATATATATATATATATATAAACTAATCAATCTTACACAATTAATTCAAGGGTCATGCTAATGCCTATTTATTGCAAACAACAAAAAAACAATAGGCTTGAAGTAAAAAAGAGGTTGGAATGGCATATTTTCAAGGTTAGCATATTCCTTTACTTACAATATTGCAAACAACAACCCGTAAACAACTTCAACTTGAAACAAAAAAGTGGCTGGAATGGCAGAGTGAACCTCAATTAAATTATGAAATAGGAGACCGGAAAAGTAGGAGCTAAACAAACACAACCGAAACAGATGTAGCACAAAAGCTGTGTAACTGTGGAAAGCCCTTTAGTCAAACATAAACTGAATATAAATCAAGTGAAAGAGGCAGCAGGCTTGAAGTTAAAGAAACCATGGTTTTGAAAATAAATGAATTGCAATCCACATTGAAATCGTAGGGATCAACCATTAATAACTTTTTGAATCTATTAATCTACATAAGCACCATTCTCATCTCAGCACAACAATCTATTCCAGTCAATAAATGTATTTCTTCTGGGAGCAATTTTAGTTGGAAAAGTCAACTACATTTTTTTTCTTTCTTTTGTTTTCTTCCCCCTCTTTCTTTTCCAAATACAAAAAGGGGGCATTGTTCAAGGCCCATCTCAGTTGCAGGTCTGTAAATAACCAATATGACACTATAATATTTAAACTTAGTTCATCTAGATTACAATATGGAACAACTGTGGAGTTATTGGTAGGACGGTATATAAATGCATATATGCACATATATATATATATATATATATATATATAGAGAGAGAGAGTATACATGTCAAGAGACAATTTTTTTGGGGACTACCCATCCCTGACCCATTCCCCGATGGAGAATTAAATTAGATCACCTACTGACCTGATGGATAGAAAAATTGGGGAAACCCACATATTTTGCGTAGGGTCTCCATGGATAACCATTGGGTATGGTTTTTATTGCCATCCCTAGTGCATTGCATTCAAGTTGTCTATACTCCATACGGCATAAAGCATCCTAAAACAAGAGAACTACATAGATCTACTTTCAAAATAAAAAGAGATCTAACCAACATTATTGTTGAAATTTTTCTACAAATCATCAATAAAACCATGCATTTCAATACACCCTTCTGATAAAAACAATAAATCTCCTCAGTTGACATTACAAAATTTTAGCAATCATGATAAATTATCGCATACCCACATCACAAGAGTACTCAAAAAAGACAAATATTCAATAGCCACGAAGCAATTTCACAAAATACTAATAAATCACAAACACCCAATAGTGGATAACATCAGATACTGCATACAAAATGTGAAAACCAAAGAATAACTCAACAAAAGAACAAATCGAGATATTAATGACCCAAAATCAACTATAACAATATGATCAAATCAAAGTCTAATGCGTTCTTACCAAATACATGAATCGACCATAAAGTGGAATTGACTAAAGAGAGTAAGAAGATAGATTTGAATATGGGTTTAGAGTTTCGCCTACTCTTCTTCTTTTTTGGTCTCATATATGAGATTAAATACGGAATTTTTAATCAGATTGGATGCCTCTAGGGTTGCAGATTGCTTTTCTTGGAGAGAAAGGGTTTACGAGTTCAAAAAAAGGGGAAGACAGAGAGATATAAGGATCCACACCTTGAGGAAGAGGTCAAATGGAGGGAGTTGCAGACAACGCTGAAGGAGAAGATCGATTTCGTGCTGAAGGAGCAGATCGATTTCGTGCTGAAGGAGCAGATCGATTTCGCGGGAGAGACAGCTTGGAGAGCCTTCAATCACTCTCCAATTGAAGCCAGCGGAGAAGGCTAGATGTAAAATAGGAAGCCCTTTAGCTAGCCCATTGGAGTGACAATATTAGGGTAATATTAGCTATCAATATGCCTCTTCCTTTGGAGTTGCACTAACCCGTGTTTTGTTTTGATAGAGAGAGAGACAGATGAGAGAAAAACTAATAAACACAAAAATAAAAAAGGTGGAAAATTGTAGTCTATTTTTTTTCATTACCGCACAATATGGAAAAATTTTCTCTTTAAAATAAGTGACAAAATAATTTTCCCATTAAAAGGTCTTAAAATATTAAAATTTATCAATAACAAAAATATATTCCTCACCAAATGGTCTTAAAATATTTAAAATTAAGTTTCTAAAAAAATATATATATATTTAAAATTATTGGCGACGAAAATATATTTCTCATAAATTAGTTTATAATTGGTGACCAATTTTTTTCTCACCAAAAGTGTCAAAATTTTGGCGCCATCCAAAACAATTAGTAGGAAAAGTTTCGGTGACGAAACTTAATTTTTTTCTCACCTAAAAGGAAGTATCTATTGACGAAAATAAATTTCGTCACCTATTATTTTTATTTTTTTATTATACGTGACAAAATTTATAATTCTTCATGGATTATTCTTATTTAGTGATGAAATTTGTTTTCTTCACTAATTTATTTACCAAATCAACAACAAAGCTAGATTATAAGCTAAAAAAATTGTGAAGATTGAAAACCCATAAAATTTTTGGAACAACTCAATTAAATTGATGCAATACAAGAAAAAAAATAGAGAAAAAAGAACCCGAGTTTGATGTAGAGAGTGGAGTCCTGTGTATACAAGAAGGGCCAACGGTAGTGTAGGCGTTGAAGGTGGAGTCATGAGGGCAAAGATCGATGGCAGAGAGGTAACGTGCGTGTGTTTTCAGAGAGAGAGAGAGAGAGATGATAAACAAAAAATCGGTTAAAAAATTAATACCCTATTTTTTTTTCATTGCCACTCAATACATCAAATTTTTCCCACCAAAACTGGTGACAACAGTATTTCCTCACCAAATGATCTCAAAAATATTAAAAATTATTGGTGCCGAAAATATATTCCTCACAAATAATTTTATAATTAGTGACAATTTTTTTTCTCACCAAAAGTCCAAAATTTTTGGCGCCACCCACAAAAATTAGCGGGAAACTTTTTGGTGACGAAACTTAATTTTTTCGCACCTAAAGGGAAGTATTTATTGACAAAAATAAATTTCGTCACCTATTATTTTTATTTTTATAATATATGTGACAAAATTTATACATTCCTCACGAATTATTCTTATTTAGCGACGAAATTTATTTTCATCACTAGTTTTCGTCACCATAGGTTACTTTTGTTGTAGTGAAGCTTGAGAATTGATTTTCTATAAGAAGGGAGGCCTCTCTCCCTTTGCAGAGGTTCTGAAAGTTGATATACAAAACATATATCACTCTCTCTCTATATTTTACCTCTTTCTCCACATTTGCTCTTGTTTGTGCTCAAAAGTGTAAATTCTTCACACTTTTACACTAAAGCACCTACTAGAACACCATCCTTTTGTTGCTGAGGCTTCTTGAAGTTGGTTTTAGTGTTTTTGGACTGGTTTTGGTAAGAAAAGAGTGCTGGAGTTGCGTTCTTGAATGTGTTTTTCATGGGTGAGTCAACTAGCTTTTAAACCTTTGTTTTGGCTTAAGCTTTTGGACTTATTTGCATGCTGATTTAAGCTTAACTTTCTACTATAAAAAGTTTTGATTTTTCAAGCTTGTAATGTTTGTTTAAGGTCACTTTTGTGTTGGGGGTAGTCTACCCCCTCTTAGGCCTTGTTTGGCCTTGTTTTGTGCCTTCCTTTTTGAGCTATTGGGACCACCTTGTTTTGGCCTTCTCACCATTGAAAATTAGAGAATTTTTAGTGGTGGAAAGGTGGTTTTGAGGTCCCAAATAGAAGAGGATCATCCCCTCTCCTTGTGTCTTGTATGCTAGCATTGATGGCTTATAAAAGTAACATGCTTGTTAAGCTTGTTTTGGCTCCATCTTAGCATGTATTAGGCCTTATTTCAGCATGTTATACCTCTGTGTAAGGTTGGTTTGATAGCCTCTTGCATGTACCATGCACTTGTAGTGCAATCCTCTCTATTGCCTTAACATGCATCTTGTGTTTGGATCATCATTCTTGCATGTTTTGGCTCAACTCAAAGAAGCTTTTAGCCTTGTTTTACCATGCTTAAGCTCTGATTTGTGCTGTTTTGGTCATGCATGCCATGCTTTGTATAGCCATAGTGCATTCTAGCTCATTAGCTTTGAGTTTCCAAGTCACTAGCATGCGTTGCTTGGGCTACTTTCATGATTTGGCATCATTTGTTGCATAATTTCAGAGCATGTTCCATTACCATGCCCTTAAATTTGTCATTCTTTCAATGCTTTGAAGAGTTGGTGTTTTATGCCTTAAGAGTGGGTCATTGTGCATGCCTCTATGCTTAGGCCTTTGGGCAATCATTTCAATGTATTTTTGGTCTCGTTTTGACATGCCATAACTCTGATTTTCATTGGTTAAGTCATCTCATGCTTGATTTTGGAGGGTGCAATGTAATCCTCTTTGTTGGCCTTATATGCGTCATGTTTTGTGCTTGCCGTGCTTGCCATGCTAGTTTGTTTTAGCCTCATTCCATGCATGCTTTGGCTTTATTTTGACCTGCCTTGGGACTGTTTTGGTTGTCCTTGGCCCTTTGGGGCTTGATTCATGTGGCCTTGGTACAAGTTCCTTGGCTATTCTTAAGCTTTGAACCTCCTAGCATGCTATGCTTATATTATGTGCATGATTTGGTATCATTCCTCACATGATTTCAGAGCTTACTTCATTGCCACATTCTCATGTTTGTCACTCCTTGCTCATGTTTGAGAGTTGTGATCTTATTCCTTAATTCTCGAGCCATTTGGCATGCATGCTTGTCTTGCATTTTGTGCCATTATTTCATCATTTTGGTCATTGATTTGGGCATGATTGAGGTCTGTCCATTTTAGTTTAAGTCTATCTTGCATATTGTTGCATGCTTGTTGCATTGCATGTTGTCGCATGCTTGTCGCATCGCATAATTCTTGAATGTTGTTGCATGCTTGTCGTGTTGCATATTGTTGCATGCTTGGTACATTGCATGTTGTTGCATGCTAGTTGCATTACATAACATTGTTGCATACTTGTTGCATGCCACGTTGTTTACATGTTTAGCTTGCATTGCATTGTTTGCATGCCATTAGCTTTGTTAAGTTGTGCATGCATTGCATTGTGTTTGGTTTGGGTGTTAAGCCAAGCACGAGGAACGAGGGATGTTTCATACTTGAAGTGATGAAACGTGCCTCAATTCTCGGTCGCCGACACTCTTGATCGAACATGATAAAGGTTAAGGCATTCATATGTTGTTGTGCATTTCATCCACATTGAATTGTGTAACTCGGCCTCTTTGGCCATCATGCATCAAAATACGTAATTGATGGCTCGAGAACCGAGCACTGCACACCTTTGAGCCTTAGACATGAAAAGGGGTGTAGTTGCACAACATTTCTTGCAAATACATTGCCATGCCTCTGTTTGTGCTCTGTTGCAGCAAGAGGAGCAGTTTGCAGGAAGAGATGGTCGATCGACTATCTGGTGTTCCGATCGACTAACAATATTTGGCCGATGGCCTTCGTTCTTTGGCCGATGGCCATACCTCTTGGCTGATGACCTCTCAGAATGTCCATGAGGTGAATCAGAAGTGTTGTGGAGATTTGTACAGTTTTCAGAGGTGCAAAACCGTACAAATAGAGTTAACATGAGGCATGGCAACGGATTTTCGAGCGAAGTCGATCGAGCATGCATATGCCCCTCTTCTCGAGGCCGTTTTAACGGCTTTGTATAGTTAGTTAATTTGTAATTAATTAGTTAATGTGTTAGCTAATTTAACTCATTGTTATAAATTCTTAATTAGCTTAGCTTGGCTAATATTCAATTTGGTTATGTAATAATTAGTCTAATTAGATTATTAGATTAGTTAGAATAGCTTAGCGTAGCTAGCTTAGTGTACTCATTTGGACCCTCCGTCGAGAGGGCGAATTTTGTAATAAGTGTGCGTGAGTGTGTGAATGTCTTCCAATCCCACGTCTTTCTCCCTTTTACTTAACT